CTCCCCCTTGTCCCACCCCAGAATTCCCAGCCTTGGACGTGCCTCTGATCTGTAAAGGTATAGCAGCAGACCTCAAATCACAGTAGCAGAGTTGCACAAGTATCTGGGCTCTCACTCCAATTTTATTTGAACTTATATGCGATTCCTAATGAATGTCGATACGATGGCGCATTCTCCGAAACTTGCTCGGGAATAGTATATTCTTCTTCTGGTTGAGGAGAATTTTATTTTGAATTTTGTTTTCTGAATTATCTCCCCTTTGCCGTGCTCTGCTAGCATTCAATGTCTCATAATTTTGTGTATAGTTCTGAATAGTGGATGGGAAAACCCGTACCCACAAGCGCATCACCGTCATCGAGTGGCCCATTTTGTTTTTGTAGCGGCTCTAATCGCTTCCGGACAAGTTTTCAGAGCTGGCTGGCCCCCGTTCTTCTGATTGACGGTGTAGCGGTCATGATGGCTGTGTTTCTTTTAGGTGTGGCGATTCTTCGACGAATTGCCGACGCCCGAGCAAGCGGCCGAATGTCGACTGTGTCGGAAAAAGATCAAAGCCACCAACAGCAGGTTTTTCTCGTTCCAATCTCTTCACGTTTTTATTGACGGGTTTTTCATTCAACATTTCGGGAATTTTTCAACGGGCGCTCGTAATTTGCGATAACTATCGTGCGCAGACACACGACACACTCACTGACGCAGACAGGGTCTATGAGTGGTCTCCACGTCAAGAAGTGGAACCAATCTGAAAGACTTTCCCAAAGCTGTCCTGAAATGGGATCTCCTTTCCATCTGTGTGAGCTTATGAAAGGAGGTCTTGGTCCAGGATATACAGCTCTCTGTATAACTCTCATCCTCTGGGCTATACAGGGGGGGGGGGCAAAAAAAGTCACTTCGACCGAGTCACATATCAGCAAAGTTTTCGCTGCCCAGACAGAGGACGTGGATACGAGTACCAGGGCGGAAGATACCCAAGATGTTCCTCTATAAGCAGGAGCTGGCTCTCGCCCATCACCTTCATGTACACCAAAATATGAAGTCATCTCCAGTCGCAGCCTGACTGGAGAAGACCTTTGGAATTCACGTCACCTCCAAACAGCTGCGAAACTTCTAGTATGGAGTCACCCATGGATAGCTACCTGGAGACCAGTACTCTCGATCTGGATGACCTCCAACATCGAGCAGCTCCGACAACGTCGCCACGGTCTAGGACATCATCTTCACCACGTCGTCAAGGCGCGGGTTGATGGTGGACCGGACGTACCTGGAATGGGAAGACCAATATTTTCTTCGTGGACCCCGGACATAAGGTGAGCGCTGGCGGTTACATTGAGCAACTCGTGAAGAATATCCTCTCACATGTCGTCGCCCGTACCTTCTTGGAAACTTTGTACTGCTACAGGATTGGGTGCACCACATGGAATCGAAGGGCGTTGGAGAAACTCTCGCCTACTTGGAATGGAAGGGGGCTGGGTACCTAAAGAAGAAGGAACATCCAACCCATCACCCACCACCAGGTCACCTGACCTGAATCCCTCAATTACCCGGTTCGGGCGGAGTTCAATGGTCTACGGTGGCGGAGAAATCGACTATCTCGCTGATCTCAGGCACCACATCGCGGTCGCGTGCCAGAATCTCTCGATGGCGCTCGTCCAGAAGTCTGTGGCGGAGTGTCATGATAGTATTTAATATGCTCTTTAATATGGTGGTGAAAATGTCCGATGAGAATTCAATAAAGTGTAATTTATAGCGCCTCGAAAGTCAATGAAGAAAAGTGACTTTTTTGCCCCCCCCCCCTGTATTGCATACTCTCCTTAACCCTAAGACGGGGTAGACGTGGCATTGAAACGCGGAATAGGATGGGTTACTCGTGGTATCTTCCAGCCTGAGACAACTGTCATCTTGTTCTGCTGGACAAAGAAACGAAATGAAGAAATTACAACTGTCCCGAAGTGGAAAAATCTCACGAAAACCCTGGCAGCCGCCACGTCCAGTTCAAGTATGGAGCCACGCCTACCGCATTTCAGGGATTTTTAGTGTGTATGCCTCATAACTCCATCTGCCCGATACCCGTAGTATCCCTACGAGTGCTCTTTCCCCACAATTACTGATCGACTCCAATTTACATAGGGCCAGGATAACTGCCCATTGGGAGCTGGTGCTGCGCATTGCAGATAGCCGAACCGAAAAGCTCTATACTGTAAATCAAATCTGACCCCTTCTGGGGACCGGAACCTTACATAGTCTCAGAGGTTTGGTCATGGGTCAGCGGCTGGCACCAGTCCTAGCGATTGCCTACATGTCCAAGATAGAACAACCGTTACTGGATCGCCGACCCATTTTGTACAAACGCTACATAGACGACTGTCTCATCGTCTGCACCACGGAGAAGGGAAATGGACTCGTGCTTTCAACCTCCTTAATAGCCAAGCTGAGAATATCCGGTTCACAAGGGAGAAGCCTTCTAACAATTGGCTCTCATTCCTCAACCTTACATTATCTCCTTCAGCTCTTACCTTCGACCTAGCCGCTTCTGATTAATTGCTCAGATCTGATTGGTAAAAACTCCACTACATTCTCTATTACACGAGCTTCTTTTTTTCCAGTGGTAGAGATGAAATGAGCTTCTTTCCAAAAAGAATGCTGCTTATCTGAGACTGCAAGAAGGGCCCATCTTGCCATTGAGGAAAGTTTATACGAAATACGACCCCCCCTCCCTCATAATTCAATTTTCTAGTATGACCACCACCGCCTTCATCCCCTTTCCACCCACCCTTCTCAAATTTCCCACTTCTTTTCACTATTCCGGGGTCCTCTCCAGAAGTTTCTCTACGATTTCCTCGAAAATTGTCGTCGAGCGGGAGGACAGGCGGAGGGCAACAATCAAAAGTATTTTCACCAAAAGAAATTACGCTCTCAGACCCTCTAGTTACCAAATACGACCCCCCCCCCTCCCACTCGCTAGGGATGCTCTGACCGCAATGATCTTCGCCCAAATTCTGAGACGCTCTCGTCACCGCGAGAATCAGCGGCCTGACATGTTGACTTTGTCTCGGGCGAAACTCACTGAAAGGGCAGCTTTCTCCCGTCTGGGCAATGGATACCTGAAGTACGAGTGCCCCGCTACAGATTGTTGTCCCATTGAAGATAGGAAGCTGATCTAATGTTCCGGATGAACCAGTAGGACGAGAGAATAAAGCGATCTGATTTGGAACCGGCTTCTAGGTCTGACGTCACAAGTGCATGTCCTATACTTGGAGCGATTTCTTCTTCTTTCAGATGTCTTTCCTTTTCTACAGTTCCCAGAAGTTGCTTGAAGGGAAGGGCGGGCATTCTTAGGTCAAGATTTTGCCCAAAATAATCAGTTAGGCCAGGCCTTACCCTGGGGATGTCACCAGGACCTGGGAAATTCTCAAGCAAACAATTCTCAACTACCGACTGAACAAACCACTGTTTCAGTAGGTCTTTCCCTTTCATTGAAAGCAGACCAGCTTTAAAATCATGTAATTTTATGGAGCGATTTTTACAAGAGGAAATTTAAAAATCTTCAAAAAGCTCGATCAAAGTGGATATTTGCCAGCCATGGGGGCAAATCACACCATACCTTTCTGTAAAGTTTCTGCTGAACACGATCCTACCCCCGAATCTTCGCCTTCGGCAGGAATCTCTTTCACCACCTTCCTACGCTCTCACCAACTTGAAGGTGAACTAGAGCATCATACGATAAAAACATTGCATCGGCCGGGAATCGAACCCGGGCCGCCCGCGTGGCAGGCGAGCATTCTACCACTGAACCACCGATGCCCTGGAACTTGCTTCCCGAAATCTGTTGTCGAGGGAAGCCATGGGGTGGGGAGGGGAAGGTTGGGGCTGTGGACACCTCCGACCTATCAGACTATCAGACTATCGTAGTTTGCTGCATCGCTAAGCAAGAACAAGCGGAAGGGATTTAGCGCCAATCAAACGAAGGAAACCAACAATGTCAACATTTCCTGCAACAAACCACGACCCCCTCCCCCGAAGGCCGAATACACCCCCCCCCCTCCACACTGCGTTGTACACAGCTATGATGTGTCCCATACCAAGTCATACGCCGAAGGCTCTGAAGTCTTTCTCTCACACACTACCAGAGGAACGCCAAACATTCTGGCTTTTTTTATGCAATAAAAAAATGCGCTATTTGGGCGCAGTTAATTTATTGTATTCCATTAACAGTCGTCATTTTTTTCAAGTCTTGCGGGTCTCGACTTAGTCAATAATAGCTGGACACTACTATATTCTCTTTCACATACTGCTAAAATCACAAATGGAAGATCTATTATGTCAAAGCTACATTTCAGAGAGTTGTTTTCTGCGCTTTATGAGTATTCAAGGCAGCCCTCGAGATCAGTCTTAAGAGTCGACGTTTTTTGTGGGGAACGGTAGAACAGCGATGATCGACATTGTACCAGTTACGCGTCAGAATGTTATAAGGTAGAACCGCGTAAGTGGCTCCGCCCTCGCTGCCTGCGGTGGTGTCTGTCGTCTTGCTCGGTCGCATGCTCTCTCACTGCACTCGTCTGGTCACTCCCCCGAAATCTCCTATTGGATCTCTGCCGCTCGCATGGGACGTGGGGTACCATATTTGAGGCGTTCTCTACAGTTTCATCAGTTTTTCTTTCTCCATAAGCGAGTCAGCAAGCGGGCAAGTTAGCACATACACTTTCGTTCTTCAACCGTGCACTCGTCTGGTCACTCGGGGGGGGGGCGATTTATTTCGGATTTAGGTCAGAAAATTTAATCGCCGCCTTGAGGTTCCGAAGTCGAGCCCGCCCCCTTTACCTCTGAGACCTCCAAAAAATTTCTTTAATTCACCACAAATATGATAACTATCCTGTCTACATGTCACAGCATTTGGAAGCATCCGCGAAAGTGTACGTGCTAATGATCTGAGAGCACGTCGTAGTTGGGATTTCCAGCGAGGGGCCAAGGAGGAGGGTATCGAGAGTACCAGAGGAGTAATCCTGACGGGAGTCGCATTTTGCAAAAATTTCCTTTAACGAAGGGATACACCATGGTTGATTAACGCTTGGGGAAAGAAGCTGAGCCGATAGAAACGCTCTAAATAAGGCTCTTCCTGTTGCAGTTGGCTCTAAGCGAGAGGCGTAGTTGGGATTTATTGGAAAAGGCCATGAAAAGCAAGGACGCGCAAACGGCAGAGATGACAGATATAGCGTGGGTGGATTCAGCTGTTGGAGGAGCCACTCAAGCAACATTGCCCATTACTCCTTCACACTATGCCCTTCTGCTGCCAAACTTGTACAATGTGGTTGTATCCAGCACAGCCCACGCCACATTTTCCAATACAGACGTTCTGATTCCTATAGTAGTCACAGAATGTCCTTTCTACGCGGAATTTCTTTATCCCTGGCATGGGATATATACTCGTCACAGCCGCTGGGCGGATGTTCATGAGAGTTTGAAGGTACGAGGTGACGGCGTTCAGGTGATATTGTCGCAGTCAGTCGGAGCGGTGTGAGGAGGAGTGAAATGAGCTCACTTTTCTATTGGTTTTCTAGAGGTAGCGATCGGAGGAGGAAAACGATCAGTGATAGAAAACGTCGTGAGTTCCATGCCATAGTGCATGGTTGTAAAGACTACATGTTCACTGTAAGAAGGAAGAAG